TTGATGATTGCCTCAGTGGAAATTCGATATGATTTTCGGTAGACTAGAGATTGGCTGTTAGAAAATGCACGCGTATTTTCTAAACTAAAATACACTACTGAGATTACTGTTTTGACTTTTCCTTATTTATCTTCATATTATGGTGGCTGGAACTTTTCAGGTGAAAGTCTTTACGCAACCTCATTACTTGCAAAATTTTGTTCAGTCAACATTCAATGCCCTTCCATCGGATCAAGTTAAAGGTAGGGATTACTAAGTCATACTATTTTCGTCGATCTTTTTTCTCTTGATGAACAAAATGGAGTGCATTGTCTTCATTTGCATTCTTATTGCATTTGAACTTCCAAGTCAGTTTATGCAGATAATACTCATTTTGTGTTCGATTCTACTGAGTTACACTTTATCGTCTACTTGTAGATGCCATTAGACACATAATTTTGTTATGTGATAAAAAGTGAAATGAGGCTTTATGTATGTGCAAAATTGAACGGTATGGAATTTAAGTTAGATTAAATGCAAGGCTCCAATGTTAGAGGTGATGGTGTCAAGGTTGCAACAACGTTGGTGGCCACTTTGTATATAGAGATAAAAATAAGAATGAGCAGAAAGCTATTTAAAAATAATGTGGAATTAATTTTTTTTTTCTTTTTTTTTTTCACCCAATTCTTAAGATATAATTCATCACTTGGCCAAAAGCAATACATTATCCCTCATGCTGAACTCCCCGTTCCTATGTGTAATATTTTGTTGACTTAGTTTCAAGTGTTTTTGTTGTTTTAGAATGTTTCATTAACTTATCGTTTTTTGCTTTCTTCTAGGTGCCAGAATTGTTGTATCTGGTGATGGTCGGTATTTCTCAAAGGATGCCATTCAGGTGATTCTGCATTCCATGATATTTCTGAATGCAATTTTTTCTTTCTTTCTTTCTTTTTGTGATGGTATATATAATTTGTATTGGCTAAACAAGGAAACCAAAAATGTTGTTTGGATCTGCGGACCTTTTTGTTGCTATTGACAATGATTGGGCTTGTGAAGGGCCTCCCCCTTGAGCCAGCTAGAACCCCTTGTTTTTTGGTGGGGGAGTCGAGGGTTATTGCTTCTTCTAATATAACTTGTAATGAGAATAATAATGTGTTCTATTTACACTATGTTTTTTTCATTACAGATCATAATTAAGATGGCAGCAGGCAATGGAGTAAGAAGTGTTTGGGTCGGTCAGAATGGGTTGCTTTCAACTCCTGCTGTATCAGCAGTCGTACGTGAAAGAGTTGGTGCTGATGTAAGTTATAGTGAATGAAGATCTAGCCCTTATTATAATCATCATCGCTATTAATATTTTTGGTTGTGAACTGCTTCACCTGTCTGTAATTTTTAATCCAGGGATCAAAGTCATCAGGTGCATTTATATTGACTGCCAGTCACAATCCAGGTGGCCCGAATGAGGTTAGTGATACCTACATCAGTATACTTTTGTTATAAATTATGATTAGTAAATTTCGGGAATTCTCAGATTCAGTTGCAAGGATGGTAACATATTTCTTGGAAGAGGAACAATATGAAACATCAAGTTTGTTCGGAATTAGGATAGCCAACAATAAGTTTGTTTGAAAATACAACATGGGAACTTATCCTCTTTTTCGTGTCCGTATTGCAGGATTTTGGGATTAAATACAACATGGGAAATGGTGGACCTGCCCCTGAGTCAATCACTGACAAGATATATGAGAACACAACAAAAATAAAGGAGTACTTTACAGTTGACCTGCCTGATGTAATCAATCAAATCTAAGCTCCATATATTTTTTTATTTGCTTTAAATCTTATTACAAGACTGCTGCCCTTTGAGTCCCATATATTGTAATAACAGAACTTCCAATGTACATGACAGGTGGATATCACTAAAGTAGGTGTGACCACCTTTTCGGTGGAAGGAGGAACTTTTGATGTTGATGTTTTTGATTCGGCGAGTGATTATGTGAAATTGATGAAGTAAGCTTATCTCTGAGAGGAATCCTCCTCTGTGACTTTGGTTACAGTTTTGTGATCAATATGATTTTCTCAGCTTAATATCAGGACAGTGTTCATTTGACTTAATTCTCATTCCAGGTCAATCTTTGATTTTGAGTCTATCCGGAAGCTGCTATCATCCCCACAATTCTCATTCTGGTATGTAGATAGCTGCTGATTTGCATTTTCTTTATTGCAATAATTCTTTAAGGGCACACACATGGTATCAATGGTGGTATGACTTATCTCTGTTTTCATGTTAAAGTTATGACGCACTACATGGAGTTGCTGGAGCTTATGCAAAACGTATTTTTGTGGAAGAGCTTGGCGCAAAAGAAAGCTCATTACTGAATTGTGTACCCAAGGTATTTCTATATTCTGGAAAAGTTTTTTTTTCATGGTTTAATATATGCTGTTTAAAGTGATTTTATCCATATGGTTCACCTGTTTCTCTCGTGATTGATTTCATGCAAACAGGAAGACTTTGGAGGAGGGCATCCAGATCCTAATCTGACCTATGCAAAGGAGTTGGTTGCACGTATGGGACTGAGCAAATCAAATACTGCAGATGAGCCCCCAGAGTTTGGTGCTGCTGCTGATGGTGATGCAGATCGTAACATGGTCCTCGGTAAAAGGTAGCATCAGACTTGTGATTGTAATTCTAATCTTGTCTTTAACTTGCACTCTTAACTTGTCTTGTTTTATTAGATTTTTTGTTACCCCTTCGGATTCTGTAGCCATCATTGCTGCAAATGCAGTTGAAGCCGTACCTTACTTCAAAACTGGTCTGAAGGGAGTTGCCAGGTACTTTATTATGCTGCTTTGCTTGCAGTCTATTCATTTCAGAGCTACATATGTTTATTAAAAGTTTTTTGTTCATGGCCTAGAGTATTTGTAGATTTCACAATTGGGATTATATGTTCTTGAGTTTTTATAAAATGTCTGTCTTTTGGATATATATTTCATGCCCAAATATTCTTTATTATCATCTTTCGACGTTTTCCACTTGTAGGAGCATGCCTACCTCTGCTGCCCTTGATGTTGTAGCCAAACATCTAAATTTAAAATTCTTTGAGGTACTCTCTCTCTCTCTCTCTCTCTCTCTCTCTCTCTCATACATATATATATTTATATATATGTATGTATGTATGTATCTCTGTGTGTGCTGCTGGCATAATAAAATTGTAACTTAGTTGTGTTTACTATAAACCCCAGGTACCCACTGGCTGGAAATTTTTTGGTAATTTAATGGATGCTGGATTATGTTCAGTTTGTGGTGAAGAAAGTTTTGGAACAGGTCAGTTTTCAGGAAGTGCCTTCTAAAGTAGTTAAATCAACGTTGGAATTACTAGACACTTAATATCGGATCATTGTCATTTCTTGTGTCCTTGATCAGGTTCCGATCATATCCGTGAGAAAGATGGTATCTGGGCAGTTTTAGCTTGGTTATCCATACTTGCTTATAAAAATAAGGAAAATCTTGGTGGGGAGAAGCTTGTAAGTGTTGAGGACATAGTTCGTAAGCATTGGGCTACCTTTGGTCGCCATTATTATACTCGATACGACTACGAGGTTTGTTAACGTTTTAAAGTGGTCTCCCCAATGTTCAACTAGATACTCTTGTATGGCTAGTAATTACTGTGTATTTTTTCTGAAGAATGTAGATGCAGGTAAAGCAAAGGAACTCATGGCTTCTTTGGTGAAATTGCAATCTGACCTTTCTGAAGTCAATAAGTATGTTTACTCTTGTCATTTATCAGACTATGAACAGAAACTTTGCTTCTTTTATTGACATACTGGTGCTGCTTATTTGTACAGGATTGTGAAGGGAATACGTTCTGATGTCTCTAATGTTGTCAACGCTGATGAATTTGAGTACAAGGATCCTGTTGATGGTTCCATCTCAAAACACCAGGGCATCCGGTACTTGTTTGAGGACGGATCACGATTGGTAAGTTGACAGTCTTTTCTTTTTGTATTTTGAAATTAAACTTCTTGGATCTTGCTTGTCTTGCTTGAGCTGATCAATCTTGGCCACTCCTTGAACTCCATTGCAGGTTTTCCGCCTCTCAGGAACCGGCTCAGAAGGTGCCACAATCCGACTCTACATTGAGCAATATGAGAAGGATCCATCGAAAATTGGCAGAGAATCTTCAGAAGCGCTTGGTCCCCTCGTGAGTTGAATCATTAATCTCATAATGTTAAATTAAATTTAGTGGCTAATTTTTTCGGGCTGGCTCTGATTCGCTCCCTGGTTATACAGGTGGAGGTTGCTCTTAAGCTTTCGAAGATGCAAGAGTTCACCGGACGATCTGCCCCTACTGTTATCACATAGATCCACATCTCTAAAATCACATAAAAAAGGACCGGCTTGTTATCTTCAAATGTATTAGTAATAAGAGAACTTTTTTTTGTAATTTTGACGGGTCTGTTGGACTCTCATGTCTACAATTTTTGGTTTGTCCAAAATAATGCGAATTTTGAATGGTACTTTGCAATCTCTTGTCCAAATCTCGTGTCCTTTAAACCACTTTTGCCCCTCGAAAATCATTTTCATTTTGACCTAACTTGTGAAATCTGCTAAACTTCCCGTTCAAGATGCTGACATGGGTTCAGAATTGCAATATCTACGCAAGCAAACTCGTGTTAGCATCTTGAAAGTAAAGTTTGACGGATTTATCAACGAAGCGTGACATGTGACACGGTAATAGCTACAATCAGCGCCTGTAATGTTAATCGTGAGCAGCTCGATTAGTATCCATTTCCATCAAATTGGTCCATGTCATCACGTATCCGGCCAAGATTTACGTGATAACTTTTTATGATATTCATTAGGCATCAAATAATATTTGCCAAGGCGTGTGCTTCCAAAGATTCATTTCAAAATTTCAACACGTCTATGGCACAATATCGTCAACTCATATTATCATACCTAAGTTATAGAATTATGTGATAACGTATAAATTAATAACACTACGTAATAACATACGTCCAGAGTTTGAAAATACATCTGCATTCACAAAAGAGATAAGGCAACTCTCTAGATATCCACTTCCAAAAGGAAGCTAACACAAGCTGTGACAATTTTCACTTTAGGTCACCATCGACCCCCACCTACGTTACGCAAGTGTGTGACAAGTCCCCCACTCTACAAAGTCAAACAACTTCTCTCCACAACCACATGCATGCATTATCACAGGCCAGTTGTAAATGGGACTCCAGTCCCCGGAATCCACGAATCTCCGGCCAACAAGTTCCCAACCGTGAACTTCTCGGCCTCCGCCGCACTCCTTATTACACGATAACCGGGCCAATTGACCCTCCCTCCCGTACCAGCCCCAGCGCCGGAGTTCATGTACTCCCCGTAATAAAGTGTGGAGAGGGCAAAGCTTCCACTCCACGGAAACCAACCAGCAGGGTCGATCAACCCATCTAGATTACTCTTCATAATTACCGTCCTAGAGTACTTTTGCCACGGCCTACCCAAATAGGTCTTGAACGAACCTTGTACAGGTCTCAAATCTTGCGCAGCCGTGATTCGCGAGTTATGGATAACAATGCCTGTGTTTTCATTAGGGTCGGTCCTAGATTGCGCCGTTATGGTGTTTATTTGGTTGCTCATTGGTTTCCTCGCGTAGATGTTGCAATTTTGGAGCACAGCCGTGGCGTCGCCGCAGATGAAGTCAACCGTGCCGTGTATGTCGCAGTCGCGGTAGAATTGGCGTTGGGAATACACGTATAAGGTGTCTTGGTAACCCTTGAAGCTGCAACGGTAGAAGACTGAGTGATCGGAGCCGGAGCGGAGTGCCACGGCTTGATGCTTCTTTGGTCCGGCTGTGTTTTCAAATGTCATGTCTTGAGCAATGAAGCCTTCCCCAGTAACCCCTGAAATTTAAGTGAACAGTTTATTGATTTTGTGAATGATTAGATGTATACTAGGAGATGAACTTGTAACTATTCACGTGGCATGTAATTAGCTAGGTTATCTTTACAAGTTTAAATCTTGTCAAGAAATGAAAAAAAAGTAAGTTAAAAATAAAAGGAAGATTTAGTAAATAGCTTTATAGTTTGTGTACTCATGCATTCATTTCAAAGGCAAAGGTTATATAGTTTTTCAAATCGAACATGAACTAATTAATTAAATTTTAATCTTCTTCAAGGATTTAAGTTCAAAAACTCCTTAATTAAATTGGTTGAAATTAACCCTTCAACTTATTCAAAGTTTGTTAGTATTTCAACTTAAACATACCAAATGTAGCAGAGCGATATGTGGTTGAACCATCTTGGCTATTTTTATTCCCCGTGACAATCGTTGCATCGATACCATCTCCGATGAACATGATGTTCTTCATTGTTTTCTTAATCTCGATATTTTCTCTGTAAACTCCTGCTTTCACGTGTATAACAAACCTTTTAGTTGCCCCACTGCGTAGCTTGTGTGCTGCTTCTACAGCCTCAGAAATTAACTTGTAATTTCCAGACCCGTCTTGTGCTACTATCATATCAGCTCTTGGTCCGCTACTTCCCGATTGGAGTAACTTTCGATCCGCGGCTGAAACCCATTCCGGGAGCCCATCATCCGAAAGCAAAGTTCGTCGTCTTCCACGAACTTGTTTGCTAAAATGTAGAGCTGATGGAAAAGTTGAGACCTTGTGTACTGACAGTGAGTTGCTAAGCATCTTGGACAAGTTGCTTGAGAGGGTGACATAGTTTGGGAAAGACTGCAAATGAGAACTAGAAATGTTGAAATCGACGAAACCATTTTGGCATGTCTGTAGATTAGCAAGCGATGCACTCAACCATGTATTGGCATCGAAGGCATTGGAGGAGCCGATCGAACGGTTGAGCATGTCGACGGTGTCCTCGTAGAGCTCCAAGCAGTCATTACAAGCCAACTTGGCTCGCTCATCGTCACCGTCCAATGAGTTCAAGTTCAAGGACGAGACAAGTTGATGAGCTTTAATGGCTTGGTCCATGGTGGCTTTAAGTACCAAGTCACGAAATGAAAACCTTTGTTGATAATCTAGGGTTGATAAGAGGTTAGTGTTGATATAATGGTGGCATACTTCAGGGTATGGGGTTTGGCTGCATGGTGCAGTGATTCTACAAGAACTATGCTGCAGCATGAATAGAAAAGAATAGAAGACAAGAAAATATGTATTGAACTCCATGGCTTCAATTTTGAGTATTGATCTTCAGAGGGCCGATGGGGGCTTTTTTTTATAGACCACAACTTGCCTTTTGTAGGGCTTACGTGGGTGGTGTACGTACGTCTAGGGGTCGGGTCAAAAGGAGTACTTATACTTTATGCATGATCATTATTGTTTCTATATGCCACTTGGGAGCGGATTGAGATCCCTTCTAAAATCTCACACTATGGAGCCAACTAACTCAGCAATTCGGACTATTCAATTTAAATCATAAGACCTACCTCATATACAAAAGTACGCTCTCATCTCTCTCCAAAACCCTCATCTCTCTCTTGTATGGCCCGAATTGCTGAATTTGTTGGTCCCGAAGTGTGAGATCCGAAGAGAATCTCAATCTCTTGGGCCACAACAATTTTGCATTTATGAAACTCTATTATAAGATGGTGGAAGCCTAAAATATATATGCAGACAATTGGGTCGGAGTCATGAGTCTTTGTAGTTTGTACTTGTATGATCAGCTATACATAAAGAAAGTGGTAACAGGAATACAAGATGGTGGAAGCCTAAAATATATATGCAGACAATTGGGTCGGAGTCATGAGTCTGTGTAGTTTGTACTTGTGTGATCAGCTATATATAAAGAAAGGGGGATGGAAGATGATTCCTTGCCACTTTGGCTATGGAAGTTGTTATTATTTTTTAGTGATTACTCTGGTGGATGAGCTTTCATTGGGAACTCACAATGTTTCGCATTTAAGCCCTCTCGTGCTCCTTAGTGTAGATGATTCAGAAGTTCTTTCACAAGTCTATACTTGTGATGCTGCCAGCGATAACTGATTAAGGTGACCAATCAGCATCGTTCCTTATAATTAGTCTGAACTAAGGAGTTTAATTTCCCCGATTTATATCAGATTTGATTATTCACAAAAAAAAATAAAAAAAAAATAAAAAAATAAAAAAATGGTTTGATCTTTTGGACATTCCCTCACCGGTACGTACTTTGCAGTAAACTTATTATCCGTTTCAGGACTTGGATAAGACCCCTCAACAAGAAAAGGAAGAAAGTTAACGGGTCTGCTTATGTTTCTTGGCACAACTAAAAGGTTACTCTTTTGTAACCAAAATATCACAGGTTCGAGTTATGGAAATAACCTTTTTGCAAAGTAAAGTGAAGCTATATATATACAATAGACGTTCCTCCCCTGACTCTCGCATAACCTAGAACTTTGTTGGCTTGGGATCACCCTTGACATATATATATGTATATATATATATATATATATATATATATATATAAATCAATCCAAATCAACTTTGTAGTAATTGGTGTCGGTAATTATTCGAAAAATGAACACGTACGTACCAAAGAGGGCCAAATAATGGAGATGTAAACTTTGTGTGTAATATTAATTAGGAAGAGTTTGTCAAAACCCTAATCTAATTTTCATATCCACACGCAAATGCACCAAGAGACTCGTGAATAGATAGGATGGATTCTCATCTTTTACAAGTTTATTAGGTGTACACCTTATGCGTTGTAGACTCTCGACCACCTTTTGATAGACCACGTAGTTTCTACTCTTAAAACCCTTAACTACAATTTTGGTACACGCGGCTTGTCATTGGCCTCAACTCAAATTTTTTGGTATGCACGTGAAAGATGTTTGGTGTGCATATCTAACATCATTGGTGATACTATTTTATTCAAATTATAATATATACACTAACTTTTACTAATATTTCCTCAAACGTCGGTCATATTAATTATGTCGACCATTTATATCATAATACATAAATGGTACACAACGTAATAAGTATCTTTGATGGTTTTCCTCTTTTCAGCCCAGGAGGACGTTGAGAAGGACTTTTGGTCCTTTGGTTAAGAGTGTGAGAGTGCCACTACGTGGCAAAGGTTAGCGGACGTAGAACTGATGCGAAAGCTATTATGTTGTACCCTTGTATTTGATTCTATAAAACGATGTACGTCGAACAAGAAACCTTTTCTCGATTTAGATTCCTTATTTTCCTTAAAGACAAGACGTTGAACGAGCAACCAAATGATGAAAGATGTGAGAATTGTGAGATTTTACGTTAAAGTACACTAGGATTGGAATCAAAAGTACGTAAAATGACAAGGTATGTGCTGTTTTGAGCTCGCTTCTTTTCCTTGAAATTTGTAGAGCTTGGATACGGCCCAACATTGTAGGCATTAGGCCATTATACAATTATACATTAAGACTAATGCTAGAAAGTTGGAGCCTAAAAATAGGTCGACCAAATTTTGGCCTTATAAACTTTTTGCATTATGAACTCTTTCGTCGTTTAAAAATAATAATTTTGTTTTTGTTAGGAATGGAATCTACGACGTTTCAATTACATTAATATCAATTGTCATATGAAGTATATAATTTATTTTTAAGAATAATGGATATGTTGTACACTTTTTTTTTTTTTTTTTTTAAATCATGTTTCTAATTTAGATACAAGAATTTACCCAAATTATAAGTGGTAAAATACTAATAACATCAACGATGGAAAAAGTAGTCACAAAGCTCACAACTGAAACCTGGTAGTTAGTCTTTATGCAATCATTATACCCATTGTAGAGAAATATCATAGATGTTCGAGTCATTTAAACAGCTTCTTTGAAAGGCAGAAGTAAGGTTATGTACGATAAACGTTCCCCCTTCCTCATGGCTCTCGCAAAGTGGAGAACCTTGTTGGCCTGGGATCATAGAGAAATAACATTGGATATGGATACCTACCAAACTAGGGAAGTTGCTAAGCTCGTCATTGACTTCTATCACTTTTCCCGACACGGGAGAGTAAACATCACTGGTTTCCTTGACACTTTCGACTGCTCCAAAGCTTGGCTGCTTTACAGCAGCCCCAACTTCTGGCAACTCAACATGCACATCGCCTAAGTGATTTCGGGCATGATCAGTTATTCCAACAGTTGCGCAGTTTCCATCATCTTTCACCTACTCATGAGAGTCGGGATACTTGAGATCCTTCACAACAGAAGCAAATCCTTGAGGATGGTTTGGATTCTGAGGTAGGAAGCAGCCCTTGACGCCCACAGAAAACTTGAAGCCATTTGTGAAACCCAACGAAACAAACACTACCGGTCTTTTTCTCTATTTAATAATAAAAAAAAACCTCTACATTGTACAAATTTTGAAAGTTGACCATTGCTATTTATTTGAAAGAAAAAGAAAAAGAAATGTAAGAATACTCTTTAGTTTTCATGACAATAAATGAGTTTCTTAGCTTTAGGATATGTAACATTATAATCTAAGATTCTATAAGATATAAAATATGCATATGCCTACTCTAGTGTTCATGATGCGTACAATAAATAGACATACAATAACAACTAACAAGTCAACTAGGTTATGCATAAATGCCATTACATATGTCAGAGTTTCAGACCATCAAAATTAAAAAAAGTAGACGTAAATTGGCCTTACCAAAAACGTACTCGATTTTTACCGTTGTAGCTTCAAATGCTATAAAGACACGTTGTACGTGTATGTCCAATTAAGTTCTATTGTGACAGTGATATATACAACACAATAGGCTTCATTTTTGGCAACACAGTAGCAGTGCTCCTACGTGAGAAAACCAATGAAAAACCAACTGAACGTGATGATGGCGCAATCTAGGGATGAGCCTCGATATCTGAGTGACATCGTTGTTCACAATTGCCATGTCACGACCGCTAAAGATTTAAGACTTGTGTAAGGCTCATTTCGGACGTATTTGGGTCGGCCATGGTGGAAGTACTTGAGGACGGTGATCTTGAAGAGTACTTTGGACGGGTTAGTTGATCCTGTCGTTGGTTGCCATGGAATGGAAGTGTTCGTATGTCCACATTTTACTATGGCGAGTACATGAACTCTGGAGATAGTGCTGGTACTTTGGGAAAGGGTCAAGTGGTCGGGTTAACACGTGATGATGAATGTTGTGGATACCAAAAAAATTACACGAGAATTTCTTAGGTGGAGACTGGTGGGTTTTGGAGAACTCTTTGATAGTGGTCTATATTTATCGAAATAAGCATTGTAGTTCAGAATTCACATTAATTTGAAAAAGCAAATAGCACCGTGTACATATATAATTGGATTATAATTAGAAAATATTCTTAATGCATTGTCTATGAGTACAAAGTCATTTCTCCCAGCAAAATAAGATTCATTCTCACTGCAACAGAACGAGAATATTTTGTATCGTGCTTGTGTCAGCTCATTTATAATAAGTCTTCATAATCTCGCTAGCAACTATATATATTGCACTACATGGTTTAAGCCGACCCAATTCGTTGCACAACTTTATAATGGTCTTGCTTAGACCAATTTGGCCGACCAAGCCTTTGTAGACCTTTATTTTATTGTCTCGTCAGTTTTATTGTACTATAGTTGCAACATCTAGCACTGGAGTTTATATTATATCAATATTACTCATTTCTATTCCTTCTTTTTATTGTACCAAATTTGGGTCGACCCTGGCCTATTATACATCTTTATTTTTGCTTTATTTTTATTGTACCTCCATTTACAAACATGTATCACACGAACTTATACCATTTCGATATGAGTCATTTCTAGTCATCCTCTTTATGAAAACAATTCTCATAGACACACTCATATATGTATTTATTTTTAAAAGTCTAAATATGTAACTTTTTGCGAAACATAAAATTTGAATTTTGGGTGAAAACTTTTTCTTTAATTCCAAGTTGTTCAAAAGGTACGTTCAAGTATTGTTTTTATAGAGAAAGTAGGATATACGAAAGCGTCTATTAGATAAGATACTTGAAAAGTGAAAACAAATGTTAACAATGGAGACTTGGGTTTCTGGGTGAGATGTGGTAAATCTTTCTGCTATCGTCTATCTCTGTTATCCCTTTGTATGTTTCTCATCTGGCTTTCGTGTGATCAGAGGGACAGAATGTCGAGATATAGATTAGCGGGTAGAGAAGTTTCTCTCCTACTATGCAGCAACAAATTTGCTGCAACATTAATAATTTTCCAGGTCCCATTGATGGCTGATGGATCGTTTAAATACGAAATGGTTCTCGTGAACTCTTAGCAATCGATCTGTCTGTGGGCGCCAAGATGGTGATCTATTTCTGACTTTCTGTTGTTTGTCTCAATGCCGCACACTTTTATTAGCTCCCTTTGTATTTTTATTTCACGTGAGGTGCTGTTCTTGTCTTTCAGCTAAGCTAAATCCAAACATTGTACATAAAACCTGCCAAACAATCGTCTCGACACTATGCCCCCCATCGCTCTCACACCATTTTAATATTTTGATGGCCTTATGAGTCATGATATACATACATACATATATATATATATATCTGTATATCTCTCTCTCTCTCTCCTCTACCATCCATTCATCCATCCATCTCTGCCAACAAGTGTCTTGCCCAAATACTAAAATGAACCATACTAATAGTCAATTAAGTATTGCTTAATTAGTTTCATTAAATAATTAAAGTTACTAAAAATTGTATCACGATTCAGCTTTTGAAGAAATCATTACGGTTCTTATGTCGAAATGCAGTTCACGTTCAAGCCACTCCATGAAAATCAAGACAAGGGCCGGCTCTGAAAGCTGGAAGGCGTTTAACCTAAGCCTAAAAATCTGCTATCATAAGTTTAAATTTGTGCATATTTATTACTTAGGCCAGGATAAACGGCCCTGCTCCATTTTTTCTTTGCTTTCTTTCTCAGTTGTGTTTTAATATATAAACGATACTCTACTATAAATTCAATAGAAAAAATTCAAACTTAATTGCATAGAAGAGAAACCGACGAACTGTATTATGCTAGAGACTAAGTCAAGCGTCTTTGTCTGACATTCTTCTTATACAACCTTTCTTTGATAAATTAATTGAGTATATGTATTGATGTTAGCTGGTATGTTAGCTTTGACAAATAATCACGTGTGTATATTCATGTAAAGAATAATTTGCATGCCCATATAATTATCAGACAAAATATAATTCTCTGTCTTTGATCTTGGACAGGGCGACGGACCATTGGTTCAATGGCTACTAAATTAAAGCAGCCAACGTATGAACTGATTTTCTAAGATTTGGTTAGTATTAATAATTCAAAGCCACTTTCTAACCAATAATTAGCATTAATTAATATACTATGGAAGACTAATTTGTTTGTTCAATAACAGTACAATCGACACGTGTTAAGCGGGAAGTTTGGCTTCATGTTTTTTATTCGTAAAGTTGTAACAATATAGAATGTTTGTTCAGCAAAATACAAAACCCAAACTAAGTGACAGCAAATCCATGTTGTGTTATAAGCATAGTTTTCCCGTCTAAAATACATATTGGTTTTTTGTCAACATGGCTCCTAGATTGGTATTATTCTTCACTCTAGTTCTTTACAGTATAAGTGGTCTTTGAGTTTGTTTAACGTAAATCAGTTTGGTCATTTCGTGAAAATCTGTCAATATTCTCATTAAGTAAAGATGGTCATGTAGTCGTTCATGTGATGATTTAACAAGTCTATTGACAAATTTTTCACGCAACGACCAAAATAATTTACAATGAAATAAAATTAATTAATGGACGTGTTAATATATCTACTTTTAGGTGTCCGATCGATCTGAAATTTAAAAGATTATTTACGTAGTTGAGTATGGTTGTCGCTTAATCAAAAACGACCTAATGAAAAGCAAGTTTTCCACGGTAATTTGTCAGTTCTAAGATCTTACTTTGTCAATTCACATAACATATAGGGTAATTGAAATTACATCTTCATTTTGCTTTTTTAATCTTTATGTTGCTGAAATCCACACAATTCAGAGAGAAAATACGTACAAATTACAAACGGTAAAATGCAAATTAACCAATTTACTAATTACAAATTCCAACGGTCGAAAACCTACTAAAACCAGAGACGGAGGCTCGAATTTGATCACAGCACCCCCTTCTCAGCAACTCTGTTAACCAACGCCAGCGCATTGCTGGTTACCTTCTTCACATCCTCCACCCGTTTCAACACGTCGGTCTTCAAAGGCCCGTCCGCCACGTTATAAAATCCGTCCGTACAGGTCTCCTCATACGTAAGTGCGGCGCTCATCCACGTCTGCACGTTGCTCATCTGGAACCGGAACGACGACGACCCGCTGCTGGTGGAACCGAGCTCGCGCATCTGCTTGAGCGAGTCACGAATCTGGTCTACGGCTTCGCCGATGGTGGATAAGCAGTCGTGGAGGGCGGGTGGGGCGCGCGGGTCGGCGCCGTAGTCAGCTTGGCGGGAGATGTTGGAGAAGTAATCGGCTAAGCGCCGGGCCCTGGCGAGGCTGACGCCGATGGCAACCTTAGCGAGATGAGCCGGGTTGTTCTGGACGGCGCTGGCATAGCGGGAAAGGGAGGTATAGCAGACGTCAGGGTACAACGTGGTGCCGCAGCTTGTACGTATGAAGTATGTGTCGTTGGACGGGGATCCGACGGTGGGGGTTGGGTGGAAGAGGAAGAAGAAGGAGATGAGCGAGAGTTGGAAGAGGAGGAAGTGGGTGGTCATGAGTATGGTGGTGTTCATGTTTTTTGGGGGATTTAGTATTGTATGGGAAACTCTGCTCCTTCTTCTGCTCCATGTGGTGTCCTGGGGGTGGGCTTAAGTAGTAGAGTAGGCTCTTGTTTTTTTTTTTCCTTTTCTTTTCTATATTTTGTTCTTGTTTGCGAGTGCTTAGATTATCGAAAAGTAGAAGGACATGATGCGAGTGCTCATACTCTGGAAAAGTAAAAGGACATGATTTGTCCAATTCTAATATTAAAAAAAATTTCTGGAATCGTTTATTTATTTTTATTTTTATTTAAAGATCATTTGTATAGGATGTTAATCAAATAAAAGATCGTTATGTATAAATTAAATTAACGGTGCTGGTCATTGAAACCCTTTTTTTCTTGTTGTTTATTTGATGCATATAGATGCATGTTTGTGGAAATGATATTTGAATGATGGTCAAGTAAATGTGCGGTTCAAGTTATAAAATTGAAAATACGTTACTCACAAATGGTGAATAGGATGGTGCACCTCACACTATGTGTCCGGTATTCCCAGTGAAAAATAAATTGGTGCACCTCACATTGGGAGGGAGACCTAGTTGAGGAGAGATTTTTCAGTGTGTTTGGAATGCAAACGGTACGCCACATGTTAATGTATAATTGGAGTAAAGTTTTATCTTTTCAAGTGTCTCTCCAATTGTATAAGGACATGCAGTGTTCTGTCCTATGTTCGGCACATTGAAATATCTCTCCTAGTCAAGGTGTGACAAAGAGGTTTAGGCGGTGAGGGAGGGAGATGTGGGTGGAACGGAAACTTCCGATCAACAACTCTCTTTGCCCCCTTACGTTTGTTCTTGGACAATCACTCTCCTTTTTAGCTCTCACCTTTGATAAATACTCATGCTAATCATATAGTCAACCCTAACAGCGGTTTGATAATAGAATTCAGAGGAAGGTTTTTATTCCAAACACGAGAAGAATGAAGCATAGTCTCCATGAGAGAACAATAATTTTTTATTAATCAATGATGAGACGTCAATAATTTGTTTTAAGAGAGAGAATTGTTCGACATCAAAAGGTAATTAGATTGAAGTTTAAATTATTAATAAATTTTTATTTCACAAGATAAAAATATATGAAAGGTTAACGAGTTAGTTTTTTTTATTTTTTTATTTTTTTTTAAAACCTATGGCATAATTTAAGAAGGGAGCCTATAAGAAGATATTATGTTAATTTAGAGTGCTTTTTGAATGTCAAGGATTGTATGTAATGGTGTTGTTATGTCTCATCCCATGATTGTTAAGTTGTTAAGTTATATATTTATGAAAGTGCAAGCTTAAGCAATCATAACATCATCATTAATTATCGGTCGTTGATCGTTGGTCGTTGCCACTCTGATCAAATCATTCATTCATCCAAACAACTAATTTTAACCATGAAAGTGCAAACTTGGCAATGCGCGGTTTTAATAATGCCTAATCTATTAGCGATCTAGTTTTTCATAATTCGATAATTGTCGTTGCTAATTTCATGTTTTATCATTTAATTTTAAGTATCATAAACACTTATGATGGCTAAATTTATAACTAAATGAAGTGTCACTAATAAGAAATAAACACGTTAATCAATACTTAAGTAATAATTTATTCATCAACTTCATGTAATTTAGTTTATAAGTTTTAGTCTCTCTAGCATTACTCTTTGGTTATTTTGCATAATTGATCAACCTATATAGTTTAACATTTTAAATGAAAGGTCGGCTCAACTAGGGCGCGGCGTTAAGTTTATTGGCGAGTACAAGCGCATTGCTAGTAAACTTCTTCACTTTCTGCGCCCGATCGGGCACGTCGGTCTTCACGGACCCTACTGCCACACCCTTGAAGCCGTCTATACAAGTATTCGCGTTGGTAAGCGCAGCGCTCAACCATGTCAACACGTTACTGATCTGGAACTGGAATGACGGGGTGCTAGAGGCGTCGAGCTTGTTCATCTGATTGAGCGAGTCGCTAAAGCTATCGACGCCGTTGCCTAAGACCTTTCCGCAGGTGCTACGGGCATTCGCCGTCCGCTAGTTGGCTGGGTGGGGGAGGCCAGATATTTAGGCGGCCGTGTTCTTAGCACTAGTTAGGCCGGCGCTGATGGCGTCCTTTGCGGCCTGAATCTTGTCATTGGATGGAGATCCGCTGGTGGAGATTGGGTGGGAAGGGAACAAGAAGACGAAGAGGAGAGACATGAGAAACGGGGTCGTCATTTGTGGGACTCATTCTCCCATCAATGTGGGACTCATTCTCAACATTGAATCCCTTTCTCATGCTGGCGAATTCATCTCTCGGCCATCTCCTCATCCATCATCTGAAATTCTCTCTCTCTGTTTCTCTCTAAAGTCGTGCTTTTTTTTTTCTCTCTTTCTCTCCCTCCCTCCCTTCCCATCGTTCTTTCGCTTGCATATTTAAGTTAAATTCACGAAGGACGACGACCTGCTGCCGGTGGAACCGAGTTGGCGTCTCTGCTTGAGCGAGTCACGAATCTGGTTGACGGCGTCCCCAATGTTGGAGAAGCAGTCGTGGAGGGCAGGTCGGGGCCGTAGTCAGCTTGGCTGGAGATGGAGAAGTAGTCGGGCCCTGGCGAGGCTGATGCTGATGGCAACCTTGGCGAGATGAGCTGGGTGTTCTAGACGGTGCTGGTGTAGGCGTAAATGGAGTTATAACAGAGGTCAGGGTACACTGTGGTGCAGCAGCTTGTACGGATGGAGTCTCTACCGTTGGATGGGGATTGGGTGGAAGAGGAAGAAGAGGTAGATGAGTGAGAGTTGGAAGAGGAGGAAGTGGGTGGTCATGAGTTTGATGGTGTTCATGTTTTTTGGGGGATTTAGTATTGAACGGGAAAACGCTGCTCCATGTGGTATACTGGGGGTGGGTTTAAGTAGTAGAGTTTGACTCTTGTTTTTTTTCCTTCCTTTTCTATATTTTATTCTTGTTTGCAATTCATGACTTATAATATGGAATAGGAGATGCTTGTATTCAAGGAGAAATTTTTTTCTTTGATCGGCACACAGGCATGTGCGTTATATGTTATTATACAAGTGGAGGAACATTTTAAAATATAATAACATTTGGCGTATTACCTTGTGTTCTGGGCACATTGAAATATTTATCGTATTTATGGAGCAAAAATGCTACTCTTGCCATATTTTTCATACAATATTTGTATTATCTTTATAATAAAGATGAGACCCTCACGTGTTGGTGGAACCTATTTTTATTAGAGACATGATACAAATATGGTATGAAAAATGTGATAAGTGTAGCATTACTATTCATGGACTGCACCAGCTTGTCCAATTCTTGTAATTAGTGTGTGTGTGTGTGTGTGTGTATATATATATTTTGCAAAATTTCATAATTATAACCTGTCATTTTGTTCATTTTCGTCTAAAGATCATTTACATAGGATGTTAATCAAATCAAAGATAGTCATCTCTCAACTAAATTAGCGGAATTGGTCATTGAAACTCTTTTTTCTTAGTGTTATTGGATACATATAGATGCATTTATGTAGAAATGATACTTGAATAACGAGTAAGTAAATGTAGGGTTCATGTTATAAAATTGTACGGTAAAATACGTTACTCACAAAGGGTGAGTAGGATAGTGCACCATATAGAAGTGGATGCAAGTATTGTCCTTATAATATTGTAAAGATACACTATGTGTCAAGTATTCCCGGTGAAAAATAAACTGTTTAGAAGGGAGACTACGTCGAGGTGTGACAAGGAGGTTTGGCGTGAGGCAGGAGATGCGGGTGGAATCTCTTTGCCCCCTCACCTTTGTTCTTGGTCAATCATACCTCTGACCTGTCTCTAGCTCTCACGTTACGTAAATGATCATGAGATATGAATAATTTGTTTAAGAGAGTGATAATTGCTCGACATAAAAGGTTAATTATGTCTGAAGATTAGATTATTAACTTAATTCTTATATATTTCACAATAAATAAATGAAAGGTTATTGAATTTTTTTTTTTTTTTTGGCCTATTGCATAATTTAAAACGGAATGTAATGCTATATCAAGGGTGAGCGAAAACAGGCTCCTTATATTGAACAAAGAAACGCAGCAATTACTTTTGAAGTGCTTTGTATATGTCACACGTGATATGTAATGGTGTGTCTATATCTCATCACGTGAATTTTTAATTTCTTCTTGAAAGTGCAAACTTAAGCAATAAAACTTCGTCCTTAATTCATGGCCGTAGCCACTCTAATCAAGTGATTCATCCAAACAACTAAAACAACTAATTTTAAGTTTGAACGTGCAAAACTTGGGAATGCGCGATTTTAGTAATTCCTAATCATATTGGCGATCCAGTTTTTCATAATTTGATTATAGTAACACTTATGGTGACATTTGGTGGTTGTGCATAATCGATCAACATATATAATTTAACATTTGAAACGAGATGTAGGCTTGATTAAGGCGCGGCCTTGAGATTATTGACGAGCGCAAGCGCATTGTGAGTAAGCTTCTCCACCTCTTGCACCCGATTGGACACGTCGGTCTTCACTGGCCCTTCCGCCACACCCTTGAAGCCTTCTATACAAGTATCCTCGTCGGTAAGCGCAGCGCTCAACCATGTCAACACGTTACTGATCTGGAGCTGGAATGACGGGGTGCCAGGGGCGTCGAGCTCGTTCATCTGCTTAAGTGAGTCGCCAAAGCTATCGACGGCGTTGCCTAAGACCTCTGTGCAGCTGCTAAGGGCGTCTGCTGTGCGCGGGTCTGGTTGGTGGGGGATTTTAGAGACGTGGTCGGCCGTGTTCTTAGCACTGGTTAGGCCGGCGCTGATGGCGTCCTTCGCGGCCTGGATATTGTCATTAGATGGAGCTCCGATGGTAGAGATAGGGTGGGAGAGGAAGAAGAAGAGGAAGAGAGGAGAGAGGAGAAACTGGGTCGACATTTGTTTGGTGTTGTTCATGATTGAATGAGAATTCTGCTTCTTCAGTCTGCTTTCATGTGTAGGGGGTGGGGCATTTATGTAGCTGGAGAAGATATGTATTAGGGTTTATTTGTGGAAACTCGAATCTCGTCTGAAATTTCGACCAAAAAAAAAAAAATCTCGTCTGAAAATGAATTAATTAATTGCTTTCATCCAAAAAAATTCCAATACTCCTTAGAAATTAAGAAAACAATCTTTTTTCAAATTCCTTTTCTTTTTTTTTTTTGAACAAATCTTTTTCAAATTCTTTGAATGGGACTATTTTAGAAGAAAAAATGCAGTGCAAATCGTTAGTTATAATGGTTGTGGATATGATTTCTAGCCAAATTAATTAGATCAGTAAACTATTTCCTCTCAAGAAATTATTATGTGTATCTAATAAACGACATGCTGCTAAATAAATTGTTTTACAAGTGGAAATGGCATTCCACAATTCTACCCTATCGATAAAAAAAATACAATTAATACTAAAAAGGAAAAATAAAAATAAAGGGAAGAATGTCCATCAACAAGCGCCTAGTTCGAATCTCCCTCATTATAGTTTATAATTTAAATTAATATACAACAACTAGTCAAAATAAAAGTCAAACGAATTAAGTCTGAACAAAGAAATGTAGCATACAAGAGAAAGAAGGGAAGCATATAAGAGCTATTATTTTTAAGAGATCCGTGGAGGTCACTCGTATATATGCAACGGTGTGTGTATGTCTCAAATGACCATTATTTTTTCAATAATATTTTTCTTATCACCTCAATATAACATAATATTGTACCACATCCATGTGACAGTTTAGATGGACGTCCACATCAATTAAAAATAATCGTGTGGCAGTTGAGGTGGATAATTACATAAATAAATAAAAATAACTTAGTTTTTCATTAATAAAAAAAAGAGTTGCAAAGGTCAATCAAACCCTAAATTTTGGATTCCCTCGTTGTAGCTTCCTCCCTTTCCTCTCTCCATCATCAATCATCTTCTTCCCAAGATCTATTATTTCTTTTCCTTAAGATTGTTGTCCATGCCCATAGAATTATCTTCAGACTCAAGGTGATTTTTTTTTGGATTACCCCATTCATTCTTACGGATGAATTATCCACAGACTTTGAATCGATGTGGTGTTTGACAATTTTAGAACCCCTTCTAAACCATATAATCTCAGCGTGCATAAGAGTGATACCAATAGTCATCAACAATTTTGTTGCCGGAGAGGACGGGGTGGACCACCAATAGACGGTGGTTGAGATGAACTTCTAAAAAATTAATCTTTTTTATTGGAATAAAAGAATTATTCATTAAGAATTGAGATTTTGGTGTGATTATCCACCTCATTTCGCCATAAGATTCTTTTTAATTGACATGACTTTTTCACATCAATTGTCACATAAGATGTTATGAAATTTTGATATCTATTGGTAAGAGTATCATTATTATTATTATTATTATTATTATTATGAAAATAATACTCACTTATATCTGCAAGTGGCCATTAACCACAGTAATGAAAATGTGTTGAGTTTTTGCATGACGGCATATAATCTAATAAAATTTACCTAGTCGATGACTAATCTAACATGTAATTTAACAAAATCTATCGTATGACCAAAAAATAAAATAAAAACAAACTATATGAGCGTGATGGAAACTGGTTTCTGGAAAAAAATTTATGTTAAAAATTTGAGGTGTATAACACTGTATATTAAATGAACACAAGGAGAAACCTTGTCAATTACATCAGCATCATTAACGAATGAAAGCGAGGAGCAACTGCCACGCAGGGCCCCTCCTCCATCCACACCATATCTCATCTGCTCTGCACATGTGAGATAAACAGTGAGTCAACTCGTTCAGTTAGTAAATATTACAACAACAAAAATGAATAACTACATTTACTCGAATTTGAATCATCTTCTCGTAATTTTGATTGTAAAGTAAAATATTGTTTGTATGATGTAAAAACTACGATCACAGCAATTAGAAACCAAAATATATTACAAAAACATTAACAAACCCAGAAGAAGACAGGGTCCAAATATACAAAAAGTAACAGAAATTAACTAAAGTTTGTGTTGTTCCCACTGAGCGACACAGTTAAGCATGTAAATACATACAGACAGAGGGTAATATGTGGTTTAAACCTCTACTAATCTTCATTAGTTAACTCATCACTAATAAACAAAACTACTAAAACCAGAGATGGAGGCTCGTTTTTTTATCAGGGCGCGCCCTTCTCAGCAACCCTATTAACGAGAGCGAGGGCATTGCTGGTAACCTTCTTCACATTCTCCACCCGGTTCGACACGTCGGTCTTGAGAGGGCCATCCTCCACGTCATCAAACCCGTCCGTGCAGGTCTCCTCGTCGGTAAGCGCGGCGCTCATCCACGTCTGGACGTTGCTCATCTGGAACCGGAACGACGACGACCCACCGCCGGAGACTGCGGTGGCAATGAGCTGGCGCATCTGCTTGAGGGAGCCACGAATCTCGTCGACAGCGTCGCCGAAGTTGGAGAAGCAGTCGTGGAGGGCGGAGGCGGCGCGCGAGTCGGCACCGTAGTCGGCTTGACGGGAGATGTTCGAGACGTAGGCGGCCATGCTGCGTGCCTGGGCGAGGCTGACGCCGATGGCGAACTTGGCGAGCTGAGCCGGGTTGTCTTGAACGGCGCTGGCAAAGCGGGAAAGGGAGGTGTAGCAGAGGTCAGGGTACAGAGTAGTGCCGCAGCTTGTACGGATGAATTCCGTGTCGTTGGATGGGGATCCGACGGTGGGGATTGGGTGGAAGAGGAGGAAGAAGAGGAAGGTGAGGAAGAGTTGGGGGAGGAGGAAGTGGGTGGACATGCGTTTGGTGTTCATGGTGTTTGGGAGTAAAGAGTATTATTGAACGAGAAGTGAGAACAGAACACACTGCTTCTTCTGCTCCATGTGAAGTGTGGGTTGGGAGGTTTAAGTAGTACGAGTAGGCTCCTTTTCTCAGATAAAATATTATTTGGAGCGCCAACTTTATTCGTTGGAATATATGACCTATTCTTTTTTATGGAAGTCTTAACGAAACACTTCTGATACTGAACATTATATATTTTCCTAAACAAAATTCCATATTTATATATTAATGTGGGACTGAAGTATCAAATGAGACGTAAAAGCAAAGGCCACCCATCTCGCGTGGGCGTTTGAATTGCGGCTAGTGGGGGGTGGTGCTTGCACCGAGAGATTTAACGGCGAGCCGTTGCCCAAATGACGACATCAACGGCTAGGATGCAACGGAAGCATCCACAATGCATAATGATCGTGATAATTGGACGGCTGGCGGCGTGACACTTTATTCCTGAGGAGGGTGAGACACTTGGCTATGAGAGTTGAGAGCTTGTTTGGCCTTCCATTTGCCCCCACTAATACTAGTATTGCCAAGCGTGCAACTTTGTAGTATTATAGTGGAGGGTCCAAATTCCAAATACTCCATTACTAGTTCCACAACGCAACGTATGAATACAGGCATTTGAGCTTTGTAGTATTTTTTGACTTGTGTGTAGCAAGAAGCATGCAAAGTTTTTATAGAATTTTTGTTGTTTTTTAATGATAGCATTAACCGAACGCTTATAAACAAAAGTGTTTTATACAAAATATTCTGAAACGGATAATTGATGTGCATTTGTTTTACTCTTTCAGATATAGAAATGATTACATTCCCCACTAATAAAAGCAAAACGATATGTGAATATATAAATTGTAAGTTTTCGGTTATGGTTCGAAAGTGTGATTGCTAAGAGTAACAAGTTGAAGGTGAGCGTAATAAAATTCTCGATGGTGATATGGATGTATAATGGATGATCCAATATTCAAATACAATAAGATAGGGAATAGGGACGACGACTACCTTTTGCCTTTGGTGATGTTGGAAAATTCTGAATACTTTGCCTTGTTTTATCATGTTGGTGTAATGTTTGGTAATTAGTCCCAATTAAGCTACTGGGATCCTAATCTGAACTAATCTTTGTAGCTTTTGGGAGAGAAGAAGGTATATATGATTGATTCACGAGCTTATCGGCGCAATTGACTCAAACAAACTAATCTCAAAGATGAGGGAGACGTGCAAAAGCTTGTTATGAGTTTGTGTTTGTCTGCGGGGCCGGGCAGGTTTTCTTGGTTCAAAGTTTTTCAAAAGGGAAACAAGCATAATCATGACTGAGGGATCACATCATATAGCAAGGTTGTGTTGCATGTGACGATTCAATTTAGTGCTATTCAGTCTCGATTTCGTTAAAAGATGTCTCTGTGTTGGATTTAGATCCTTTGTTCTATTTTCTCTGTTACGATCTGCTTGACTCCTATTCATACAACATCTCATTCAAATTTTAAGAATAATGTGTCGACTGTAAATCTATATGAGAAGTCAAGTAAAAAAAATCAAGCAGATGATTTGGGTCTCTGTTTGACCTCATTTTTAGCGAATAAAGCCAAAATTAACTTTTAATTTAAAAAATGTCACTTTTTATAAAAGCTTTCAAATATATCCAAAATTTCACTTAAATAGACACAAATACGCTCAAATTTAACAATTAAATAAATTAAAGGCTTTTTAGCTACTGTCGCCTCAAGCTCCAGGTCTAACTTCACCTTCACTTCTACACTCCACCACCACAACCCTATCCCCTTCGACCCCCCTCATAACCGACATTGAGCACTGCAGCAGTTACCGTGAGTGGGAGTAGCAGAATTTCAATCATGCCTTCAACACCTTTTTTCTTACTAATATCATTTTTAGTTTTAAATATAAAAATAGTTTTCAAAGTTAATCCACATATCGTTATATGATTGTATTTGTGAGACCCACGTGGCGCCACATCATCACACTAATTGAGCAATTGACAGATTTTTCACGAAAAAACTAAAATGATCACGATAGACAAATTCAAAGAAAGACTAAAATGATTCACGATAAACAAATTCAAGAACACTACTATTGATTATCATTAATTGCTAATGACCAGATTAAGGAGTTATGTCAATGTCACGAATCATTTTGGCTAAAAAGCCTTTAATTTATTTGATTATTAAATTTAAGGGTATTTGTGTCTATTTAAGTGAAATTTTAGATATATTTGAAAGATTTTATAAAAAGTGACATTTTGAAATTAAAAGTTACTTTTTTGCTATATTTGATAAATACTCTCATATGAATGCAAAAAAAAAACTATATATATTCACAACGAGTTTAATGCTAAGTTGTAGCCCATTGTAAGTATTAAGTGAGGTTGTGTCTTAACATAACAATATAGATTAGCAAATGAAAACAACTCTTTAAGATATAAAAAGATGTTTCCAATGGGTAATCATGCACAAATGGCCCACCCACAATAGGGCCACTCATCATTGTCAAAATTTAAAACAACATTTAGCCTAATTCATTGCGTTAAACAAGGGGAAATCTCATCCGTAATTAAAGAGCATTTGAAGTAATATTCTATATCACGAGCTCAGTTGAGTACATTGAGGTAATGAGCAATGTGTACATTTGATTTATCTCTGCCTAGCTAGCTAGGTCAAAGGTGAGAAAATGTGTGTCACGTGATGAGTTTGGTGGAGGTTGAAAGTGAAGGAATATTTTTGCTCACCACCCTTTAGTAATGGTTATGCATTACCACCACTTCAGGACGATGAGCAAAAATGCATCATAAAAGTAAAGCTCTATCTTCTTCTTCTTCTTTCTCTATGTTTCTTTTGACAAGCCATCATTTGAGGAATTCTTGGCTAGGACCATTCATATGGGACACACTTCTTATGAGTATGAACTTGAGCGATTAAAAAATATATGCGGTCTCCATTTTTTGTGTATGGTCGTATGAACACATGGTATGGCAGTTGTGTTGTGCTAGGATAGCACAAACCAATCGGAACCAACTCAAGCTAACCCACAGGAAATATATCAAATGAAATGCAAGAACAAAATATAAAATACACCAAGATTTTAACGAGGTTCCTCAACAGTCAATGTAACTGGAGTAGCTCACCCAATAATCCACTATCAACTAAGTGGGAGTTTACAAAGTGTTGACAATCTCACAACCCAAAACCCATTACACCCAATAACTCTCACATACCAAAAAAAAAAACAAATAGAGAAGGAAATATAATGAATAATTTCCTCTCTACACATAACTCAAAACTATAAAAACAACAACTACTTTGATAGATGATTGCTAACCAAAGGGGGGAGCACTTTCTTCTTTTCTTCAACTGGGGGCTGCAGCACCCCTTTTACTTTTTCTCTGCTGCTTTAAACAAAGGCAGCTGCTGCTGCTAATTAAAACCCTAGCCACACCCGTGGCTTTTCAAATGGGCCAAATAAAAGGCCCACTTAATGGGCTATTGAAAGGCCCAAAGGAATTTGGCCATAATTCAACAATCTCCACCTTGGTCAAATTCCAAAAACGCCATGATAAGCCAAACCAATATAATCAACAATCAACACAAAACCACTACCAAAAGTAGCAAGAGAATAACTCAAGCCGAGCCAAAATGTTCCAAAGCTCCTACTGCTCAACGCCTTCTTTATATAGGCAGAATGTGAGCCAAGTTCAAGCAATGAATAAACTTGGCTACACCAACAAGCTTAGTCAACATATCAGCGGGGTTGTCTTTAGTTGGAATCTTCTGGATAATGATATCCCCTTCACTAACAACTTCACGAACAAAGTGATAACCACATCTACGTGCTTGGTCTTCGCATGATGAACCTGATACTTAGCCAAATAAACTTTGACTATCACAATGCACCTTCACCTGTTTCTTCCTTTATAGCTTCAGCAACTGCCATGTATTCAGCCTCTGTAGTAGACAAGGCAACAGACGACTGCAAAATGGACCTCCAACAAACTGGCCCTTTAGCCATGGTAAACACATAGCCTGTAGTAGACTTCCTTTTATCCAAATCACCTGCATAGTCTGAATCAACATAACCAACTGCAAAGTGACCAATACCAGAGCCATCTTTCTCAAACCATAAACCAACATCTCGAGTACCATGGAGATACCTCAATATCCACTTAGCTGCATGCCAATGCTCTTTACCAGGATTATGCATATATTGACTCACCATACCAACTGCATGAGCAATATCCGGTCTATAGCATACCATTGCGTACATCAAACTACCAACCAAATTTGCATATGGTATATTTTTCATTTGCAACTTCTCTTTATCAGTTTTAGGACATTGTAGAGAACTCAATTTAAAATGAGGAGCCAAAGGGGTACTAACCGGTTTGGTTGAATCATGAACTCCAAACTTATGAATCAACTTCTCAAGGTATTGTCTTTGATTCAAGTATACCAAACCCTTGTCTCTATCTCTAATGATCTCCATGCCAAAGATCTTCTTCGCTTCACCAAGATCCTTCATCTCGAACTCGTTCTTCATTTGTTTCTTCAATTTCTCAATCTCTTCAACATTCTTTGAGGCAATCACCATAGCATCAACATATATCAAGAAATAAATGAAAGACCCATCTTGCAACTTCTTGAAGTATACACCATGATCATATTGACTTCTAGAATAATTTTGGCCTTTCATAAATTTATCAAACCTCAAATACCATTGTCTAGGAGATTGCTTCAACCCATAAAGTGATTTCTTCAACTTGCAAAACAAATTCTCTTTCCCTTTCACTTTGTACCCATCCGGTTGACACATATAGATCTCTTCATTCAAATCACCATGTAGGAAAGCCATCTTCACATCGAGTTGCACAAGCGCAAGATCATATTGTGCAACAAGAGCTAGCATAATGCGAATTGAGGAGTGCTTCACAACCGGAGAAAAGATTTCATTGTAGTCAATGCCCTCCTTTGTGCATACCCTTTAACAACTAATCTTGCTTTAAATCTCACATTGCTTTTCTCATCAACACCTTCCTTTTTGGCATACACCTATTTGCAACAGATAGCTTTCTTACCCTTAGGCAATTTA